TGTATATACATTATAGTTATTACATCAATTGTCTGTCCAGTGCCACATAAAATGGTTTGTTGAGTATGAAACAAAAGATCAGTCTTTGTTATTGGTTTTTTGAGATAACCCTGAAAAATTATTCAATATACTTGCCTTTTATGAACAAATAACCTAATTTTGATGTGGTATATTATATATTTGAAATTAACAACTATAAATTACTAGAATATCAATTTTTACCACTTAAATCTTTCAACATTGGGTTATTATATAATTATTATTTATATAAGTTGATACACTTTTATTAAATTATTAATAATTAAATATTACAAATAAACCAATATACTCGTAAGATGTATTAATTTGCACTTATTATTAATTTATTGAAGGAATTTAATTCAAAACGAAATCGAAAAAAAAATTAAAGCATCATGGACCTGATAAATAGGTTTGACTAATTCCGTTGCTGTATAGATAATAATTATATTTTTTTGATTAACTTTTTTAAAAATATTCAAACATTGTGTGTTTCATTGGATATTTATTTAACTTGATATTTGTAAATCATTTTTTTTGTATTAAAATTTTAAAATGGGGTTTAATCTTTCAGTAATAATACATTTATAAATTTGATTTAAAAATTATACAGTCAATTAGATAATAAATAGTGTGACCAATAAAACTTAGGAGAAAGAAGAATAGTTAAATATATAATTTACTAAGTGGTTATTTATCTAAGGTTTATTTATTTTTAACTATATAATTTAAGTCATCATGTTGTATACCAAGTTGACCATATTGTGTATTATTTACCTATTTATTAAAACTTAGTCACTCTGTTAAATTAATATTTTATAGCTTATATGACATGATCGCAAACGTATTTGTATATAAATATAATATACAGCTAGAGTATGAACTAGTGTAGGATTTAATATATATTACAGAGCTTATACAATGTAGTGTGGTGGATTTTGGTTAAACCATTTGGGTTACCCATGTACGTTAAAACAAATTTTAGATTCAAAACGCGAAAGACCCCGTTCCAGTGTGTATATAGTTGTGTTCATCTCCGCTGTAATCTCAGATGGTGGCGCAGGTATGAAATATACACGAGTAGTTCATTAGTGAAGTGGGATTTCCCCTTTTCAGACTTGAAGCTTGTCTTATAATGATGTACAGTATATGTACAACTGGCTTTTTTTAACTCATTTTCTCAATTGATCTTGAAAAAAATTATACCAAACAACATTATTTTTTCTTGTATGCATATATTTCGACTCAAAAGCTTATTAAAAATGGTTTTCGAATGAGATACAAAAAAAGAAATGTCGGTGTAGATTCGATGTGCCACGAATATGGGAAGATATCAAAAAGACACTGAAAAGTGACAAGTCTCAACAGAGAAGTATCGTGGAGCAGCGCAACGAAACTAATGAAAATAGAATGTTCGATGTTTTCACGAAAGTAGTGATCGTCATTGTGTCGCATGTCTTTAAAACTTTTAAGAATAGTATTTCAACAAAATCCGAATTGGCGATCTACTGAAATCGGCCGGAAATAAAAACAAAAGATCCTGTATGAGTACGTAATCATACGTGCACTGCTATGCGCGGGTGAATAACCGAGTCCTTGTGCACTATATGTGCACGATGTCGGCGGCGGTGGCGGCAGACAGGGGTCGGAAAAGTGAAAAGACACGTTTCCGTGCTCATGGTATACCGTATGTGTGTGCACGCCGGCTTCACCCTCGGTCGCCGGCCCCCGATGAGGGATGCTCCTGGGTGAGGGGCGGGGGAGCTAACTTGTACGTGTGTGCGCGAGTAGTATAGCCGTTCACGCGAGGGACCGCAACGACGACGCTCAGAGCGCTATCGATTGAGCAACCGTTGTCGGCGGCGGCGGCGGCGGCGGCGCGGGTGGTTAAGGTTGTAGTAGGGTCGGTTTACGCTGGATGGCCACCAGCCGCGCGCGCGTTCCCGTGGCTCGCCTCTCGGTTAACCCCACAAAATGCATCTGCGAGTGTAAAGTCCATTTCGGTGCGGTCGCCGGGTAAACGTGTTGGATTTTGATCGTCCTCGATCATCCTGTATGATATCGCGTCGTGGATCGTTTCAACACACACTTACACAAACGTACGCCCGTTGTACCGACGATTAGATTTTTGCCGACGTCGGAGTAGTTGTTGTCATCGTAGTTGTTGCTGTTATCGTTGTTGATATCCGTCGAGTTTCATGTCGTTCTCGTGACACATCGCGTCGGATTCAAATTCGATCGTCTTCGGCCGAGACGATCATGCCGGCAGGACGATCGCGGCATTTATCGTTTTTACAGCTATAGAGTCGTATATAACACACGTACGTCGACCCACGGAAACCATCGCTCTGTCACGATATATTTCCATTTGATCAAGAAGACAGACATGCTGAACCGGTGGAAGAACAAGGAGAAAGCCACTGGGCCGGGGTCGAGCAATACGTTGCCGAGCAAAGGTTCGGCAAAAAAGAAACGGAAAACCGGCAGGGAAGCAGGTGAGGTCTCGTAGAGATGTGGAGGTTTTTTCGCGTATTTGTACTGCACGTAGCACACGTATATACGCTACAAGCAAGTGCTTGAAAGTATTATAAGTAGTAAATCATTTTTTCACGTGGCAACTGCTGTTCCTATTCCACGTGAAATCGTTAACGTGTTCGATCGATTATAGTTTTATATTGATGGTAATCGTATTGCTTATGGTATAATTATTTCTACGATTTTACATCTACCATTAAGATAGTCACCAGCTCATGACGGAGTGTATTTTTTGTTATGAATTTTAAAATCGCTCTGATTCGCATGTTTTTTAAAAATGACAATTTGAAAAATTTAATGTCGATGTTTATTAACACGACTATATTTGCTACGGAGTACCTATGTGTAAATTAATTTTTAAAATTAGTCGAGAAAAAACTTAATTTTGAAATATATTATTTTTCACGATTCAATAATACAAACCGGTAAGCAGATTAATTGTTAAAATGTTGCTAATTTATCATCATTATTTTAGCATACTATGCATTTTAAATAATATAATATTCATATAAAAAGATGATATTTGTTTTTTTTTAATACTTTTATTTTGGTGGAATTTGTTTCAATATTTTCACAGTGTATTCATTATATTTTTATATCTGTTGAAGTTAAACGAATTAATAATGTTTTGTAATAAATTATACCATAACGGAAAAAAGTATTTTTTGAATAAAAAAAATATTAATAAATAAATAAATAAATAAACAATAATATATATATATATATATATATATATATATATATATATTAAGGGAGAATTGAATCTACAATTAAATCAGAATTTGTTGAAAGTTTTTATTTTAAATTAATCCAATATTACGAGTATAACATTTCATAATTCGATAGTTGTTAGCTGGGAATTAAAAGTTGTTTTATTATATCAAAAACTCTAAAGTAATACGACAAAGGTATATGGTTCAAAGGGAAATTCATTCAAATTACGATATTTAACGATATAATGGATAATGTTGTAAGGCTTTTAGTTGTATGAAGAAGTTTTTAATGCTTTGTAATTCTGGCAAATATTGTGATGAGAAATATGAACTAAAATTATCCTCGAAATGTATATTGTTTTATATATTATATTGGAAAACATATTTAATGTTTACTAATTAAGTTCGTTCATAAAACTATTTCATATATGCATTTATATACAATATGTTACACTTTCCTTTTGATTATTTTATCAAAAAACCTGTGGATATATATTACGTTGTTTAAAAATATTACTCGCAGTAACCGTGTATGTACCACACAAATTCTACGTAAGCACACAAAAAATAAATATATTGTTATATACATGATATAAGGCAAGTAATTTTTTTTCTTATTTAAATTTGTCAAAACTATATTTATTTTTACTTAGTTGCACTTATCGTATTCATAGCAGAGATGAATAATCTGATTGTTAGAAATTAATACACCATACTACATAAGACGATCAAAAATATTAAAATTTGAATTTTTAAATTATTTTACTTTAATTAGTTACACTTAATGTGTGTACTATGGTTTCTTAGGATTTTGTATAGTTTTCGAATGTATTATTTGAACTTCTGATAATCTATACTTTCCAATTATATGCTTTCGTTTTGTGTCAAAAAAAGTAAAAGACGTATAGAAAAGGATTTGTATGACATTCGATATATAATATCATATTACTACTAACACCGGTCTTGTGGGTGATTGTTTGGAGTAAACAAAAGGAAATTTGACAATTCTTGTAGTATCATGAGATGCAGGTTTTGTCTCAACATTTATTTTTGGATCACTGATTCAATCATTAAATAATATAGGAAATTTAATTATGATTAAATAAATGGTAATTTAATAAGATTAATAACTGATTACTATGACTGTTGCTTGGTAAAAGTGAATCGAGTCAACTCACCGGAAAAATGTGAAATATCAAATGTTTATGTAAATTATAGACGACAATGTCATAATATCATAATATCATAGACGTATGTCTTAGGAAAATTATATTCACATCAACAGTGTATCCACCTATGTGTGACGGATATTAACAATTCGGAATAATTATCTGTATAGTTTACAAACTTTTAAAACCGATTGGTTGGTCCATTGATATTAATAATTATACTACGTATACTATTTATTATGTTACTATAATATAATTTACTATAATATAATTTACTTGATCACCATAACAAAAAATTTATATTTTTTATTACATCAACTATAATATTAATATAATCATCAAATGCAACTTGTAATTTATATAAGTGTAGTACATATTATGACAATGTTGAACACATATACTCGTATTTCACTGCTCGAAGTTTTCTTCATTCTATTTTACTACATAATTAATAATTCCACTAAAATGAGTATGTTAGAATTTATTTCTAGTTTAAAATAAAAATAGGGCTTTTAATGTTCTTCTTATTAAGTAAATCCGAATAAATATTAACATCAGTAATCATTCAAAACAAACTTCTTATTCGTCTCCTGAAATACCATATACATTTTATTAGTCATTATTTTAAGTAACATTGTTATTAAAACTATAATTACAAGTCATTTCTGCCGAATTTGTCGAGGACGTTATAAAATAGTAATACACCCAATAAAATGCTGTGGAATTTCGTACTCCTTATGTTATTCATACATATTGGTACACTTTTCTTGTAGGTATTCTCACTTGCTAACCATGTACTTGTCTGTAGAAGTAGAATAAGTAAGAATCACGCATTGAAGAAAAATATTAAGACACTCACTAGTTTCCCAAGCTCATCAGTGATGATAGATGTGGCTATAACAATTGGATGCCAAAATAAAGTGTAGGTGAACAGTACATACGCTGTCATAATATATAGCTATAAATAAACACGAACAAAATTAAGATTCAATTCACCATCGATGAAACTTTGAAAATATAATTAAATATAAATATCCAAAGTATTAAGTTTGTAGGGTTTATTTAAACGAGCATAAAAATTATATTTTTTGAAAACGATGATCAACCTTAGAATTCTAAGATTTTTCTGAATGAAAGATGATCTAACATATATAAGTAATAAATATCATAGAAATAAAAATAAAAATAATTTATGTTGGTATCCGTAAAAATAATCAGTGTTACATACTTTGAACTTTAAAACCTTTTATATTAATAGGTAAAATGTTTTAAAACTGGTCTTGTTATTATATTTTTAAATCATTTAAAGCTCAAAATTACTAAATTATATTAAAATGAATTTTAATAGTTCCAAGATGAAGTTCAATATTTTTTTCTTATTTATTCTTTATATTTATTTTTAAGAACATTTAAAAACAATTATATGATTTGTATAAGTTATCTTGTGTCCAATTCTTTATCTACAACATAACTGCATATCAATTTTATTTCAAATTTACTATTCAAAATGTTAATAATAAATAAGAATATAAATAAAAAAACAATAAGAATGATACAATACTAATTCAGTACTTGCTTTGCTTGGAATGTAAAATTATATACATCAATATACATTCAATATTTTTATTTATTATATTTAATATTTTATTACCTCTCCAAAAAATTGAATTATTCTGCTGTGTGGTTTTGTGTTATATGGCCATACATCACATTCCACAATTATAATGGCAGCACTACTCAGGAACAATACTGACGATGAGAACATTATCTTATCAAATGGAAAGATTTTCAATCCAGCTTCGGTCAACGAACAAGATGGTATCAATAATGATAATCTTGTGTATAGGTACGTTGTTATAGCCGTCAAAAATACTTTTTGGATGATTTTAATTAGTCCTTCGTTTAAACAAAACGACATATTATATATATAAAATAATAATTTTATAGCACAATAAACTTTTTGGTTTAACGTTTTTAAAATAAGTATTAAAGAAAATTATCAATAAAACGATTGTTTACGTTACCTTGGCGTTGATACATTGTAATTAAAATTTCAAATGTTATCAAAGAATACATTTTAACGACCTAAGAATTGTTTTTATTTATTTAGAAGAATCGAAATACTATATCTCAACATATGTACTATCTATGTCCATTTTTTGATTTAAGAAGAAATTATTTAGAACTTTTGAGTTTTTGATCAACCTAAAATATGGTATGAGAAAAAAATCGTCAATATTCGTAAAAACAATCATATTTTAAACATATATTTTTAAATAGCTGATTCAAATAATTTTACTATCGAAATTTGGGAAAAACATTAATCCACCGAAAACTCATTTTAATAAATTATATAAGTTTTAGTTTTAAAAATCACTATTTTTTCATACACCTTAGTTAATATTGGAAAATAAGAAGAAATTGAAAACAATAACTCTCTATAGTACTTAATTTTTCAATTTCTGTAATATAGTGTAATTTTACTATTTAAAAATATTACCACAAAAAAAAAAAAAAAACAAATCAAAATAATATTTATTCTATTAATGAAAATCTAGAAAAATGTCTGAATATTTTATTTATCCAATATATATATATATATATATTTTTTAACACACTTTTTTTTATTAAATATAAACCTTATTAATAACAATGTATAATGTCGAGGGATAAATTATTTAGAAGCATATATGAACGTATAGCTTATGAATAACTTATAGGTTTGAATACCTAGTTTAGTGTATTTTGTATTTGATTTTGTATCCAACTATTTTTTTGTCATTGTTTATTTTAAATTCAGAGTAGAATTCGTAGTACATTATACGTAATGTATAAGTTTCTCTTTGATGTGTATTTTGTATACACGATTTCGACCTGAAGGAATACTCCTATTATCACCAAATAAATAGTATAAGGTAGAAAATGTGTTCTTGTTGGTATAAAAAATGTGTTTCAGAAAATGTTATCTTGTTGTTTGGGAGGTTATTTTTTTAATTTTTCAAAAGTTTTCCAAATAATTGAGAAAAACCAACGAAAAGTTATAAAAATATCACAAAATATGTAGCATACCGGTTTTTGACGAAATCTAATTTTTGTTTTCTTAGTAACATAAGAATAATTATAATAATTTGAGACGCATGAAATATTTAATGAATGTTTAAACCATCTTTTGTGTAGATGGTATAGTTTTTAAAATATTTATTATTTTCTTTTCGTTATTTATATAAAATTGGAATGTTCATATTTTCTTAGTTTTTTTTTTTTTTTTGAAATGTCGACAAAATAATTTTATTTTTACTGTTTCTCGTACATATATATATATATATCATTAATGAAAAAAAATTGAGTTTGAAAAAAATTTAATGTGCTTAAATATTGAACTTTGACTAAGTGATAAAAATTCTAAAAATCCGCAACATTTTTGTTTTCGAATATTCATTAACATTTCAAATTTTTACGAGTAAGGTAATATTAGTAACACATATTGCAGTAATCATTTTTTATTTGGTAAACTCATGTAAAGTTTGTTATTAAAATTCAAATAACACGTCATCGGCGTGCATTGCTCACTACCCTACACACAGACGGATAAACTAAAATCGATTTTCAATTTGTTTCAGTATATAAATTATCATATTGTTACAGTATAATACTTTAACTGACTCGTTTAAGTCAATTTTTCCGAAGATTTTGCAGTTTAAAATACTCCACGAATTAATGAAATTCACTCGATCAAAATGTATTTTTATAATTTATGAAATATTATAACGATATAAAAAAATACACCAATGATGGTTGCGTTTCAAAGTAAATAAAATAGTATATCATATGCGGTAGAATTGCTCAATGTTTACAAACCTTCTGTAAACAACTCTGTCGAAATCGAAATAGAAATGCGGTACTCCGTTTCGTTAAACATCCCGTAAAAATTGCCTACACGAAACGCCGTTCAAAACGTTACGTTGCACCTCCTACCAGACATACCAGTTGTATTATTAAACATGGGTCGTGTAAACCATGAATCGGTCTCGTGTTCGGATCCTACGTTGCACTTGAATAATATATTTACGATTGGAAACTCGAAAATTCGTCAATGTATTATTTGTGCCGATGAAATCACGAAACGTATGTTATGTAACCCGGCGTCGAATAATAAACAATTCCTCCCGACGTTTTCCGGACAACCGTAACGTGCAGTGACACCTGGCGGCAGACGCGCAAACGCCCCGGTGCCGCGTGCACCGTATGACAGAAAGCGTTGCTGCTAATCGTTCTGCCGGATTCGTCGACTTCGCGCCAAGGTGTGCGGTCGTTCGGCATTTATCGCAGTCCCGCAGCGTCCACCACCATGTCGATGTGCGTGCTTAGGCAATGCGTTTCATTCACAGGTTAGTTGACTTTACGATCGCTTAATGTACTCAAAAGTGTGTTGGTCGTTGATTACAATAATAATAACAGTTATAATAGTATTATAAGAGTTTCCGTTGAATTTTCTTAATTTCGTCTCGTTTGTTCAAAAAATTAAACGTTTCTAAAACAATATTCAAACCGAATCGTTTATTGCAGTGAACGGTGTGATAGTAAATTCAAAAACTAACCTGACACAAATAATGTATCTTGTTCGGTTTTTGTAGGGCCATACGTAGTTTTTAATTTTGATTGAAATAAAAATTATTTATTGTTACAATACATGGTTAAATAGAACATAAATGATTGGAATTGGTACCTACCTATGATTGAAGTAAATAAATTATTTGCATTTTTATGGACTGTTATTAATTTTTAATATTTGTTTGAAATTCCCGATTTCAAATTATGTGTTATACATTTGTTGTTTTAAAACATATAGTTTTTTTTAAATTATTTACAATTCGTGTATTCTAATATATGAATTTATATATGGTGTATTAATATGTGTACGAATTTCAGTGGAAATGGTTTTAATTACTATTTTTCCATCAATTAAATTAAACTTTACCATTTCTTAAATTCTTAAATCGCTGAAAGTATTTGTAAAATAAATGAATCTTAAATTTGATTTTATTAAAATAAATCCATAAAATAACTGAAGGACTATTTATCTTAACCAAGAGTACCTACTTGCATTTCCAACCTTTTCTTGCAAATTAAAAATTAATAATTTGATACACACTTGTTTAGTTTCTAGGCGATTCAAATTCTATTTATATAAATTTAAATTTATCATAATTTTTAGTTTTATTATGTAAATTGAAATTTGCAATACATTATGAAATTAAAAGTGATATAGTATTTTCATTAAATTATTTGATAGTGTTATACTAATTAAATATATTACCTTTTTATATTCAATTTATTATTATTAGTAATAGTTTTTAGAATTTTAACTTCAAATTCAAAAAATAATAATCTCCTATTTTAAATTATTAAATTAAGATTATTGACTATATATTATAAATCAAATTTTGTAGTCTACATATTACAATACTAGGTATTTGCATAAGATATAAGTGATACAAAGTCGAGTTACTTATTTTTCTTTTTCAAGGTTTTTTTTAAAAATATGTGATGTATATAAATATAAATATGAGACATTACATAGTTAAATATTTCATTTCATTAATCAGGATTATTAATCGAGCCACTTAAGATAAAATTATATTTTGTATTAAAACTAATTTAAGTCTCCCAAAAAATTAATCTCCTTATTTGTATTTAACTTGAATATATTTTTGGTATTTTACACTTTTAATTTTAGATTATTTTTTGTTTTTAGTAGTTTAATACACTTAATGTACTTTCTATAACATTTTACTAATTTACTGGTTTTTAAAAGAAACTAAATATTAAATACATTGCGTTTGAAATAAATGTTTTGTTACTTAGTATTAAAATTAATTTATTAGTTTCATTAATTTCATGTTTTATTCAACTTTTAATAAATTATTTACAATCAAATAACTACTTTATAATAATATTTAATAAATCAGTATAACTATATTCTTACTTTATGTTTTATATAAAAGTATTTTTAACTAAAATTTGCAGATAAGTTTTTATTAAATAAATATGAATTTTATTTAAGATTTTTGTAAAGTGTAAGGGAGATTTCCAGCAATATTGTTTGAGTTTTGGTAACAAATAATGTAAAAAACGAATTTTGAATAACGTGTTAACATAGTTTGAGTGAAAATTATTTGTTTTTAATTTGAAATATTTTATACGTTGTAGTTGTTTATACAGTTCTATTACTCAAATAAATTATTCAGTGTAATGTATATAATACATTCATAGCTAAATAAAATACATTTTATTTTAATTCATGATTAGAAAATGTAAAAATAATCTGTTAGATTTTTGTCATTTAAAATACAATGATTATAAATCGAAATATATTTAAATAATAACCTTATATATATCTTTTAAAAATACTAGAGATATTTATCATTTCCATGATAAGAAAAATGACTAAAAATAGTATTAATTTGAACGCATTAATTAATTAATTTTATTTTTTTATTTTTTTCTAACCTTTAATCTATTATTTTACATACATTTAAAAATTGAAGTTAAAATACGACTTATTTTATATGACTTTTCCTACTTTTTAATGATGAAACGTATAGTTATACCACTGTGTAAATGTTTAGAATAAATATATCCTTATAAAGAATATTACATTTTTTCATATAAGAAAAATTTAATTATTATGAATACATCAATGTATCCATAAATAATATACTAAATATATTTTCTTTATGTAAAAACTAAAGTAGTGAGCTTTAATAAGCTATCAAAAATACCAACATTCCTATTTTTTTCAATTACACTATTACTATTTTAATTGAAAAGCTTTGTATACTATTTTAATGATAGTTAAAAATTAATTTATGTTTGAAATAAAAACCTGTGTTTTTATACATACCATTATTTTACATA